GTGTGGGCGGGTGTGTGTGTGTGTGGGCGGGTGTGTGTGTGTGTGGGCGGGTGTGTGTGTGTGTGTGTGTGTGTGTGTGTGTGTGTGTGTATTTTCCTCCCTAAGTTGCCCACAAACTCAACTTTCAATACTCTTACTCCTACCTCCACCTCTGCATGCTGGAATTACAGGTGTGTACCGCCACACACAGCCACATATTCTCTCTGAAAGCAAGAAGCTCTTTAAGCTGGCTTATCTAAACCTACTTTCAGATGCTTTGTTTAATTACATTGACTCTTGCTGCCAAGGACAGAGTACTTTGTATTTATATTTCAGGTTAGGTTTGGGGAGGAAGTCTTAAGTTTCAGTTAGGTGGCTGCAGGTGGTTGGCCTTGAGTATCTTTGTTTTTTGTTTTAAAAAAAGCAAACTGCATGTTCCCATTGGGATCACAAATTTTCTTCACACAGTGGACACACGGAAGAGCCTGCCTTTCTTGGCTGAGTCCAGAGTATCTGACCACAACTTTAGACCTCTAGAGAGTCTTTCAACGTCTGTGATTTGAACCTCTACTAAGGAAGACTGCATTCACATAGCCTTTTGTCTCCAGCCCCAGGCACCTGAGTTAAAGGCAGGTTAAGTATCTAATTCCTGGAGCTTTTCTAGTGGGGTTATTTACATGCCCATGATAGCAATTTACACAATTAAGGACAGTCATAAAGCATAGAAGCATAGAACTAAGTTATGTTTATTGGCTCCTTATTTTTATTTTTGGGATTGAGACAGAATCCAATGTAGTCCAGGCTGTTGGGATTAGAAGCCTGTTCCTGTCTGGTTTTGTACAGTTCTGGGGATGGAAGCCAGGGCTCCTGTATGGTGGGCAAGCACTCTACCAACTGAGTTACATCTCCAGGCCCTGAATTGGCATTTAAACAATATTCCACTGAGCAAGGAGAAGGTATGCAAGGAAGAATTTCAGAGATACCCTGATAGGGTCCATTGTTGTGTGGTATGACTTGGGCTATTCTTTGCATTTCTTATTTAACAGTCTGCCAAAGCCACTTTTCCAGAAAGTATATTTACATCCACCACATTGTTTTTTTTTTTTTTTTACTATAACAGGTCTCATATTGATGACCTGTTATAGTAAGGTTGTTTGCCTCATCTGTCTACAAAACCATGTTACAATGAGCATTCTAATCTAGAAGTGTTTGTACACTTTCCTTCCAGGATCACGTAATGACTAACTTAATCTGTAGCCAGCACAGCACTGGATAATAGTAAGTGCTGCCAAGATAAAATAAAAGCCAGGTGGGTCCCTTCAGCTAGGAGTTAGAAAAAGGCTGACAGAGCCTTCAATGGGACCAACTAAAAATTGTGGTAAAACAGTATGAATGGCACAGAGCAGTGAGGAGTGAGTCAGTGATGGGCAGGGGGACAGGGATGTACCGTAGACAGAGCCTGCCTATCATCCCCAGGGTAGTGGCTTCAAAGACCTCTTCCATTTCAACACCCTCACATCCCAAATCAAAACCCAAGGAGCCCTCCATTCCAGTGTAACTCTTTAATATGAGAGCCTTGGTTTTATGACTTTTGATTCTTAATTTTTAAATCTTCATCTAAATTCTTAATCGTTGTGATGGGGTGGGGCTTTGTGACCACACATTTTCATGAAGAATGTTTCACTTCAATACAGTCTTATGCTGCCAAAGTTTATTAAGAGACTATTTCTGAGAAGGTTGGAGTAATTTCCTATAAAACATGTAAATTGACACTCAGCATATAAATGAAGCTAACAGGTCAGGAAATGAAAACTCCCTCCCCGCAGTCTCTAGCTGTGCCTGTCCCAGACCAGTAATGAGTATCAGGAAGAAAGGCTCATTTTCCCTATTGATGCTCTATTGTTTCAAACAACTGCTGCTGCTGTGATCCCCCAGGCAACAAATGAATCATTGTGAAGTCTTTTCTGGTCCTCTCAATTGGCAATTATATATTTTTTTAAAGACAATAAATTTTGTCATGGTGCAGCTGATTACATTCATTTATGAAAATAACTAAAATGCAGTGAATCTGTTTCTTTTCTTTTCTTTTTTTTTGGTCTGGTCATGTTAAGATAATTATCAAAGCCATAATAGAGTACGGTGGGCCTGAAGTTGAGCCTCACTCCCCCCCGACTCCCAGCAGGAAAATGTGCCCTTGAGTAGACAGTGGTACTATTAGACACAAACATGGCCCACTATGCTTCCGTTCAGAGAGTTGTTGAGTGGAGGAGTACCTGAGACATTTACAAGGGTTTGGTTAGTTTCCAGATCTCGCTCTCTCTCTCTCTCTCTCTCTCTCTCTCTCTCTCTCTCTCTTTCTCTCTCTCTCTCTCTCTTACACACACACACACACACACACACACACACGCGCGCGCGCGCGCGCGCGCGCGCGCGCGCGCGCGCGCGCGCGCGCGCGCGCGCGCGCGCGCGCGCGCGCGCGCGCGCGCGCGCGCGCGCGCGCGCGCGCGCGTATCCACAGGGAATTCATTTAGGATCCTTCTTAGATATCAAATTCCTAGGGTGTTCAAATCCCTTATATAAAATTGTGTAGTATTGTAATATAATGTAGACACATGTTCTTGTATACTTTAAATCACCTTTAGATTGCTCATAACATCCAGCACAGCATAAGTGCTGTGCACAGTTATAGTGAGATATTCAGAGAATGACAAAGGAAGTTGGCACATACACAGTACAAATGTGATTGTTTTCAGCCTGTAGTTGGTTCACTCTATGGGTGCACAATTTCAGATAAAGGAGACCCACTACTTGTATTTCTCGCATAGTTCAGTTTTTCTACATTTGTGTAGATGTGAGACATGCATTCAGTAGTTAAAAAATCTGTTTCTACAGCACTCAATGACTATTGCTGGCACAAAACACTCAGGATGAGTTTCCTGCTGGCTCCCCTAATGAACAGATCCGTCCAACACAAGAAACCAAATCACCTTTTTTTCAAGTCAAAACGTGATCCTTTTTGTTTTATTTTGTTTTGTTTTTTGAGGCAGGGTTTCTTTGTGTAGCCTTGACTGTGCTAGAACTCACTCTGTAAACCAGACTGGCCTCAAACCCATAGAGTTCCACCTACTTCTGCCTTCTGAGTGGTGGGATTAAAGGCCTGCACCACCGCCACCCGGCTAACATTATCGTTTTCTTTCTTTTTTTAATTTTTTCAAAACTTTTAATTATGTATCTCTACATGTGTCTGTATGTATATGTGCACCTGAGTCCAAATGTTTGCAGAGTCAAAAGAGGATTTTGGATGCCCTGGAGCTGAACTTCAGGCAGTTACAAGACTCTGAGCATGGGTGTGGGGAACAGAACTCCAGTCCTTGCAAGAGCTGTTAACCACAGAGCCATCTCTCCAACCCAAAACTTTATCTTTTTTAAAAAGGTAATTTAAATGAAAGCGCAATCATCAAAAAATAAATAAATAAAATGACATATTGTATTGAGCTTAACATAGTTTCTTCTACCCTCCATCTCATGTGAATTTTGTTGTTTTTCTGTGTTCAGACATATTCTAGAAAAGCAAAAGGAGTGTATCTTAAACTCACCAGTGGAGAGCTACACAAAAGCTTTTGTCTGTGTGCCACTGCTTTATACAAACAAAAGCATGTTCTAATGCGGTCCAGTAATCTGCATTTTATCATTTGCCTGTCAATAAGATATCAACCTGTGGATCTGAGATCATCACACTTGGTTCTGGGGAGCAGTGCAAAGAAGGAGAGACAATCAGTGTGTGGAGGAATAGGCATCCAATCCATCCCTTATGGTAGTGATTGTGATATAACAGGCAGTTGTCCAGTGGTCTGAGGAACACGGCCAACTAGGAGTATTTCCATGTGCCAGGGACTCAGTCAGCTCAACCCTCAAGGTGGGTCCTTTGTGGTTACTGGCTTGCTGAAAGGTCAAATACCTTCTTAAGTGCTTACTGACCCCGTCGCCGAGTTCATGCCCCTGACCACAAAGCCCACAGAGCAAGCCTTTCAGATATTGGAGTCTGCTCATTACCACAATGAAGACTGAAGGAAACCAAAGGAATTCTCTAGATGAGTGCTCATATCAAATAGATACTGGTCTTTTAGAGGCTTCTTTGCAGTTTGATGCTTTACTAAGGACTGACTGTAGGGTTTCAAATGTGCTAGGAAAGTACTCCACGGCTGAGCTATATCCCCAGCTCTGTAACTTTAGATATAAGATCTCCATACATTGACCAAACTGGCCTTGAACTCAATCTGTAACCCAAAGTCATGAATTTGTCATCCTCTTGCCTCAGACTCTGGAATAGCTAGGATTGAAGGCCTGTACCACCATGCCTGCTTTTCAGGGTTTTTTATTTGTTTGTTTTTGACACCATAATATAATTACATAATTTCTCACTTCCATTTTCTCATTCCAAGCCTTCCATATAACCCTCCTTGCTCTCTTTCAAATTCATGGCCTCTCTTTCCATCAATCGTCATTACACACCTATATGTATATGTATATTCTTTTTTAATAATTTACTTATTTGTATTTTTTTGTAATTGGTGTTTTGCCTGCATGTTTGTCTATGTCAAACATGCCCCTGGAACAGGAGTTTTAGACAGTTGGGAGCTGCCACATAGGTGTTGAGAATTGAACCCAGGTCCTCTGGAAGAGCAGTCAGTGCTTTTCAACCTCTGAGCCATCTCTGAATATATTCAGTATATTCTCAAATACATAATCACACCCTGCTCAGTCTGTATAATGCTACTTGAATATATGTTTTTAGGGCTGACCATTGGCCTTGGATAACCAGCAGTTGGTGGTCTCTTCCCTGAGGAAGACTATTTCTTCTGCTCTCAGCATTCCTTAGTTAATTGTTCTCCTCAGACTTGTGCGTATTTGCCCGAAGTTACTTGGGGGATTTTTCTAGTTGCTTTCTGGTTGTCTGAATAAAAGACATCTTCCAAGCCCACTGCCTACTGTTTGCTATTAATCACCGTCTCTCTTCTCAGATCCGAGTGATGGTGGACCTGTGCAACAGCACCAAGGGTATCTGCCTGACAGGTAGGTCTGTGGCGTTCACCTGAGAGCTTTGTGCATGTAGCAACACTGGGGCTAGCCAAAGAGCCCTGGGGCAGAAAGCACACCTAGGGGTATTTGGTTACAAAAAAAATGCATCTTCTTTATTTTAACAGATGTTTTTAATGGAAATAAAACCAATTGTAATATGATTATGACAGTATTACTTTCTGGTATTGTCACAGAAATGCGGCCATGGAAAATAACTGGGACTTGAGTAATTAGAAATGTGTGTGACCCTAAACTAGGGCCAAGGATGTTTTCTTCATTCCTACTAGTTTTAAAGAGGGGGAAAGAACATCCTACAAGACAGAGTTCTCTTCCGTGAGAAGTTCTGTGCTGCATCAGATGGATTTCTTTCCCTACCCCAGATGTGCAGCATGGACACACAGCTCTGGGCAAATTTGCTGGGCAGTCATGGAGTGCTGTTTTTCTGTTTTTATTCATTATCTTTGTGTCTGTGTATGATGTGGAGGGAGGGCATGTGTGTGCCATGGTGTGTGTGGTTGTGGTCAGAGAACAACTAGACACAGAGTTGGTTCTCTCCTTCCACCTTTACGTGGGTTCTTAGGATCAAACGCAGGGTGTTGGGCTTCCACAGCAGGCACACTGTCTGAAGAGCCACTTTTATGATACATTTCTTGTGCTACATTCCATTGCAAGGTGGGTTTAGATAGAGGCTGGCTATTCCCTTATTCCCTCTTCTAAATGGCTCAGGACACATGGAAAAGGACTGGCCAGGAGGTGTATCAAATCTTGGGCTAAGGAATGGCTGATGGAAGGATGTGTGTTTTGTTTTGGGGTTTTTTTTGGGGGGGGGGAAGAGGGGAGCTTGGTTGAGTTCGTTTGTTTTTAAGACAGGATCTTGCTATGTAGACCAGTCTAGCCTCAAACATGTGACAATCTTCCTTTCCCAGTCTCCTGGGTACTTGCATTACTGATGGGAACATGCCAGGTGGTGGTGTTATTTTCTATGTGAGCCTGACAGAAAGAAGCCTGTCTCTGACCTTAATGGCAGGTCGTGTGACAGTGAGGGCAAAGGAGAATCAGGTTCAGAGCAGTCACCCTCACTGTCCCCTAATCCAAGTGACACTCTGACCTGTCCTATAGAGCCTGACTCCAGATATTCTATTCCCTGCCTCTCCAGAGAAGGGTGGCATCCTGAGGAGAAAGGAAATTATGATTCCTTTAAAAGGTACAAATGCAGTGAATAAACACATCTGTGGACCCTGAATGATACTGTGGACATAAGCTGACATTTATTGCTAGGACTCTGAGATTGCTGTGCCTAATTTAGCATCTCGTGGGGTACAGAGGTCCTGCGCAATCAATACCTGGATGTCAGGAACCCAGGCAATTTCTACAGCATCTGCCTCAGTTTCTCTCCTCACTTGGGAGTTAGTTTGTCAAAAGGATGAACTTGTGGCTTCTATGAGTGAGTAAATGAAGGAGGGACCTCAATTCCAAGGCTTACTCTTGCTCCCTTGTTTTGGCCTCAGAGAGACAAGCTATCAAGCCACAAGCCTGTGGCTTCTTGGGAAATGCTAATTGAATTGTGTAAGTGGCATCCGGCCCTCACAGAAAATGGAATGTCTTTAGAAAGCCCAACTCTTTGTCCAGAGACTCTAGTGGTGTAAGTGCCTTCCTTCCATCTGTGGAAGTCCCTCTTCAGAGCTCCCACATGTGACAGTAATGAATGCTACAGAAATGCTCAGATGGATGGAGTGACAGGCACAAAAGCCTTGTTGAGAGCCACAGAAAAAGCCTCTTTCCAGTTTTTATAGAGACCCGAGAGCCGGGCTCACGGTGAATGTGCAGGGTTTAGCTATTGAGACCACTTAAAGGAGAGTAACGGGGAGCGGGCACAGTGGGAATGGCTTGAGTAGGTGATTCTTTCTCACCTCAGAACACGCTTTCAAAAGCTAACACTTTCTTCTTTCGTGTCAGCTTGAATTTGGATCTCCTTTTACACAGAAGCTCTTCAATTAAAAACTTAAGTATGAAAAAGTGTGAGTCGCTAAAGCAAGTGGGTGATTTGGGGCAGCCCATACCATCTCTACTGGGGGTAGGGACAGAAGGGTGAGCCACAGGACCCAGGACTGAACTGGGCTACTTTGGTAGTACACAGAGAGCCTCAGTCCACAGATTAGCATGGGTTGTGGCAGGAGAGAGATCTAGACAGAGCTGGCCGTGGGCCCCAGAGAAAGGTCTAATTTTACAGTGGAAGTTAGGGAGTAACTCCACTGGTGGAGAAGCTGCACCCCCAAGGAGCCCTTGCTGGGGATGAGAGAGAGTCAGGGCTGCATACCCCCAGATTTCCTCAGGCCATGTCTCCCCTTAGCTCCCCCTAAAACAGCAGACCCGGGCGTTCCCATCTGAGGTGTTTCTGGTGTGATGGAAGCCTTATTTCTTTAAAATCGGGCTTCGGGGAAAGAGTGGGTACTTCCTCTGCGGTCATGCTATGCTTCCAGGTGCCTCCATTCAGGTAAACAGGAAGATGAAGTTACAGACACTCAAAGACAGTTCTCTTCCCCTTGATTTGAAATGGCCATTGTGGATGGAGCCAGGTCATCCAGAAGCCTGCAGTATTAGCCTGACCAATGCCCAATCTCAAAGCTATACTTCCTAGTTACTACTTCCCCATGACTGTAAAGGCTGTATTTCTTGCCTCCATTAAGATTCTTCTGTGTCTGCTAGCAGAAACCCACAACTTGAGAAATAACACCAGCATGGCATGTGCCAAATCATTATACAGCCAGAGGTATCTATTTTCCAGTACAGGTTAGGCCATGCTTTGATTCACAGACAGTAAAACCTCAGTGGCCTAACAACACACCAGAAGTCTTCTTCACAAAGTGATGCTTGGATGACCCTTCTGGTACTGCCTCCTCTGGTAACCCGAAGCACCATGCTGTTGCTACCTTGACTCTCTGCCATCTCAGCACAGACACCTGAGAACTCTTATATTTGTGATTGTAAGCCTATTCTTTAACGGCAGCCCGGCTGAGACTCAAGAAGAGAGTGCCGGGATGGGATGGCTCCGAGTTCTTAGGGACCAAGCTAGATGCGCTGTGCTTCCCAGCAGAAGCGCCACTCTCCATGGACCCCACTCTCACAGGTACCCTTTTAAGGAGTGTTGACGGATGACTAATTCTTTTTTTTAGAAAACTGTCACCACGTATTAGGGGATCTGTGACTATCTGCATGCCATTCACCAGGGGTGCTTGGTGAAAATGCAGGTTCTGGGCCTCACTCTCAACCCAGAATGAATTCTCCAAGGGGCACCTGGGTATTTGATTTTAAGAAGCGTAGTGGTGAGTCTCTGGATTCAGACAGAACTGTAGCCAGGGTGTCATTGGGGCTCTGGGAACGGCACTAGAAACGCTCCATTAGAAAACTATGAAAAGCTAGCAATGCTAAACACACAACAACAAGGCTCCTCACTAAAGCTCACCCCTGACATGCCTGCCGGGTTCTCCTGGAAGCTGCTGATGCCCATTTGACATGGTCAACTGAGTGTCCTCCCATCGTCCCTTGCCTCTGCTTGGCTGCCTCTGTAGAGAAGCTTGTTGCTTCTGCCCGGTGTTCAGTGCCCTCTCCAGCCTGTTTGTGTGTGCGTGCCATCTGCTGGTAAAGTCACAATACTGAGATGCTCAACTCTATGCAGGATGTAGAGTCCTTTGGGTATCTGTTAAAGAGTGGTATAGCTGCATCTTGAGGCAGATATATTCCTGTCTTCTGAGGAGTCTCCACACTGGTTTCCACAGTGGCTGTACAAGTTTGCACTCCCACCAGCAATGAATCAGTGTTCTCCTTTCCCCAAATCCTCAACAGCATGAACTGTCATTTGTTTTATTGATCTGGGCCATTCAGACAGGTGTAAGATGAATTCACAAAGTAGTTTTGATTTGTATTTGCCTGGTGACTAAGGATGTTGAACATTTCTCTAAGTGTTTCTCAGCCACTTGTGCTTCATCTTCTTAGTTCTCACTGTAGCCTGCTCCTTTGTCCAAATGATGGTGTGCTTTGCCAGTACAGAAGCTTCTCAGTTTCATAATGGTCTCATTTATTAATTGTTGATCTTAGTGTCTGTGCTATTGGTGGGTTTCCTGTTCAGAAAGTCTTTTTCTGTGCCAGTGAGTTCAAAACTGTTCCCCATTTTCTCCTCTATCAGATTAAGTGTATCTAGCTTTATGTTCAGGTCCTTGAGCCATTGGAGATGAGCTTTGTGCAGGGTGATAAATATGGGTCTATTTGCAGTCTTCTACATGCAGTTATCCAGTCTGACCAGCACCATTTGTTGAGGATGCTGTCTTTTTTCCTGTGTGTATTTCTGGCTTCTGTGTCAGGCATCAGGTGTCCATATGTGTGTGGATTTATGTCTGACCTTCAACTCATTTCGACTAATTGATGTGCCTGTTTCTATGCTAATACCATGCTGTTTTTATCACTATAGCTCTGCAGTACAACTTGAAATAGAAATGCTGATCTCTCCAGCAGTTCTTTTACAATTCAGGATTGCTTTAGCTGTCCAGTTGTGTGTGTGTGTGTGTGTGTGTGTGTGTGTGTGTGTGTGTGTGTGTGTGTGTGTGTGTTTCCATGTGAAGCTGAAAATTGTTCTATCAATTTCTGTGAAGAATTGTGTTGGAATTTTGAAAGGGATTGTATAGAGTCTGTAGATTGCCCTTGTTAGGATGTTCATTTTCACTATATTAATCCTATATTAACAGGCCCATGAACATGGGAGATGTTTCTGTCTTCTGATATATGCTTTAATCCCTTAAAGTTTTTATTATGCGGGTCTTTCACTTGCTTGGCTAGAGTTAATCCCTCAAAAAAATTTTGAAGCTATCGTGAAAAGTATTGTTTCCCTGCAAACCTCTGCGTTTGCTACTCCCAGACACGCATTCTTCCAAGAATTCTATATCCTTAGACTCTATTCATCAATACTCTGGGATCCATTTATCTAAAATCCTCCTGCCTCTTCTAATTGGACATGGGGGTCCTCCTTATTCCACAAAATAGTTTCTGAATTCCTAGCTTTTCCTGCAACTCAACAGCCACATTTATCCACAACTTTGCCCAACTTTCACCTTAAAGGTCTCCCCGTATTTTCTCCCCCACTCCATGCCCCTCTCTGCTTCTCTGTGCTCTTGGTCTCTGTCTCTATCTCAGGTAACTCAGCTGTATTCATCCTCCAGCTGCAAAGAGCTCCTCAGCCCCACATTTATGTGCCAGCTACACCCTCTACTTAAGAGCCCACCTCCCATAGTCTCTCATCTTCTTTTGGCTTTCCTGGCCAGCCCACCCACTGCCTTGTTCAACTACATCTCTACCCACACAAGCATGGCCAGCTCTTTTATTCTTTCTTCCATCCTGAACCTTAATGGCTCCCACTTCTGAACCTTGGCTTCTGTCTGTCCCCTGCATGAAATGGCTGGCCCATGCATGCTGACATCTCTGTCCCACTGTTCCTTCAGGACCATAGCCCAAAGATCACCTTCTTGGGAGCTCTCCCCAGACTTCAGTGTGCCCAGAAACTTCCCCAGTAACCTGGGGGTTGTTTCTTTACTGAGTCCTCATATTGCCCTGTGGTTTCAGAGGCCCTACTGTCCTCATATAGACTATGGACATAGCAGACACCAGAATTGGTATTTCTTAGTGGAGTTTGGTGTGCATGATATATGTTTAGAAATGCTTCTTTGTGGATGGTCAAAAGCTCAGACTTGGAATCATTATGTATGATCTAGAGAAATGGAAGGAACTCAGTCCTCTCGTGTTCCATCCTCACTGGCTCACTCAAGTGCTCAGTCGGGCTGACAATAACACATGCCTATTTCTGGAAGCAAAATCATTTGCTCAGTGTGTAAATGATTCATCCAAACCACTTAGGTCCTTGGATCATTTCACACTAAAGAAGGTATTTGTCACCTGACCTGAGCTCTCAGACTTTCTCAGGCTATTACATGCAACAAAATACAGATCCATAAAGCTAGCATGTGCTTGGGTTACTCCTCAGTGGCCTGGAGGAGACAAGTTGGCTGGGGGAACTCTTGGAAGTGTTCTAGTGTTCTGCTACGAAGTGACAGAGCCTCCATGTGCTGACACCTGCCCTGTACCAGGGTTGCACAGGACCATCGTGACTCCATTGGTCCCATTTAACCGCTTCTAAGATAATTTATGTATGAATCTATAATGAAACCAGCTCAGAAATTATGCTGGGTCTATTGAAATGGAAGCAAAATGGCTTAGCAAATGAGTCTTTGCTGAGTTGTTTGTAAGGCTCTTTGGGAGTAACGTAATAAGCTGTAAATAAATGGTGTGGGATTGTTTACTTAGCAGGCACTTAAGACATTTTAGGAAGAGCAGGAGTTTGTAGTTCTGGTTTCTTTCTACCTCATGTGACTTATCCTCTAAATTCCTTTTCTGTTGTAGGACCACCTGGCCCACCAGGTAAGTACCTATTTTGTATTTTTCTAGTTCAAGAGGCAGCTATGGTTGGCTGGAGCCCCAGGACCCAAGGACCACAGGTGGTAGAGGGAAGAAGTGAGGCAGCATCCTGTCCATGGCCACATCCTTTTCTGCAGCCCTAACCTGAGACCTCCTTCACCAGACCCTCCACCTGTCCTTGTTCTAGAAGGAGGGTGGGTCAGTGGCGGGCGGGGGGGGGGCAGCAGGAAGATGTGGGAGATGCCAAAATGCTGGCTGTCTCACTGGCTAAAGGAAATCACATGACCTGCAGTGAAGATGTCTTTAACTGTTCCTATTCTATGCTTTGGCACAGGACCCCCAGGAGTTGATGGGTTACCAGGACACAATGGATCAGATGGACAGCCTGGTCTCCAGGGACCAAAGGGAGAAAAAGGAGCAAATGGGAAGAGAGGAAAAATGGGTAATTGGGGAGTTCTGCCACTTAATTCCTCTGTGTCATATCTCCCTGACTGTGTTCAAATGGGCAGCCCTGGGAAGGATTGTGTGCAGAGGAGGCAGGGTACTTCATGCTCTGCGTGGGATACTAATGTAACTCCCACCTGGAAGCTGCTGCGTTGAGATGCCAAGAATCTTCTTTTGGGACCAAATGTTTATGTCAGAGCAGAGAGGACAGCTCCCTAGGAACTGACCTCTCTTCCTGCAGCTGGAGATGTAAGGGAGCAGCCTGCCCCCGTGCTCACACCTGCCTTGCTTACACCACCCTCCTCCTCCACTCCTGCCCCCACCCCTGCTCACACACACATTGATTCAAGCCTCAGCCTCTGCTTTGCTTCCTGTTGCCACTTTCTTTCCAGCTGCTTGGTGTGTTTGGTTGACTTCAAGGGACTGATGCTGGCCTTTGTAGAGAGGATTTCCCTGACTAGAAGAGCTGCTCCCATTGCTTGAGTAGAGAGACAACACTCAGACCTCCCAAGGTTGGCATATGACTCTGGGTCCTCCCTTAAGGAAGCTTGCAAAGGGATTCCATTGTCTGAGGCAGTTCCTCTGGGCTGCTGTAGAGGCCCAGAGACACCAAGGTGTCTTTTGTGTTCAGGGAGAAGCAGGGACTGGTGTGGGACCTCACAGGATCCCTGGCCAGGGTGAGACAGGTTCTGAAGACCTATCAGTACCATCGTGGGAGCTGTGGAGATGGACAAGAAAGAATCCTCTGAAGAAAATGGGCATGTGGCATGGTGGGAACTCACAGACACCAGAGGGCCACTAGTAAAAAGGCAGAGAGAGGTGGATTTTAGCCAGATCCTCTATGTGCAGCCTCTTAGATCCACAACCATGGACAGGTCCTGAACTAGGAAAGGTAGCAGGAGCTTCTTTCAAATCAGCTCCCCCTCCCAGGATCTCTGACAGCCCCCCCCAGCAGCTCTGCTATCCCTATCAGCTATATAAGAGAAAACCGGAGGAGAGGGAGAGAACTGTTGAACACCTCTGTCCTTTGGCAAACCCACCTGCTTGTGTGTCCAGGGGCAGCCATGCAGATGACAATGGGCACACATCATCCAAGTCAACTTGGACCTCACCAGACCAGCAATTACAACTGGAATTATAGAGCAGAATAATAATTATAGCTGCCAATGCTTATCAGCATAGAATAACGATGACTACAAGAATGTGCAACTATTTGGTGTATCCTGGGAAGACTTCAAACTTATGATCAAGGCTAGAACATTAATATTCCAGGGGCAGGCTTAGGGTGGGGAGCACCATATTGCAAGTGGATATGGGGCAGATCAAAAAGGAGCAATTTATAAAAGATTTGGGACAGAGCCCTGGACTTGAGGACATGTAATTAAGTCTGTCCTCGAGAAACCACAAGAAGGCCAGAACATTTCATTCACTTATGGAAAACATGCTTACACGGCAGGTACCAGTCTAGACACTGGTTCAGAAGTGATGAACCTGATTAGCCTTTGGAGAGACAAATCCCCACCTCCCTCTGAACATTCACTGAAACAATACTGACCAGGACACCTAACAGAAGAAAAGGCATTAATATCACTCACATGCAGGAAGTCACAGCTCAGCCCCATTCAGAAACCTGTACACCCCCCTTTTCCTACAGGGAAGGATTGTCAGTGACGACTATGGATTAATAATGACCCTATCTGGAGTCTGAATGAGCTCCAGGGAATGATCTTGTAAGGAAAGCAGATATGGGCCTTAATCTTTTCTGAGATATATAACCCACACCAGCCCCCAGTCAGGTGGGGGGGCCCTATGTCTTTTCCGATGCTGACTAGTCTTCAAGCAGGTAATAGGAACTTCAGAAACCCTCTCTTTAAGTGTGAGTGGCTGGAGGACCTTGGTTCTATGCCTGGCTCAAAAGCTTTTAATTCCTTCATATCAAGACCCCCATCATGCAAAACTCTGTCACACTGGAGGAAATTGTCCTGTGAGCCACAGCACCTTCATGGAGCTGGCATTGTGACTGGGAGAGATGGGAAGCAATATAGCCACGTTTAGATGGTTCTTGATAGAGACAGACTGAGGTTACCTGAAGAAGCTGGTCCTGTGGAAAGAGATCACTAGGCGGTTGCTCAGTTCTGAGCCAGCTCAGGTTGGAGGGCAAAGGAGGCATTGTCCAGGTCACTCACAGCCTGATGTGAAGACCGTTGCACTGACCCCAGCCTGGAGCTTTCACAGGCTTTGTGGAACTGTTTTGAGTGGGCAACCCCACAAGCAAACAGGAGAGCCATTTCTCCCTCGGGAGTTAGGTGGGGATAACATGATCTTTCTTCTCTAGCAGATTTTAACTCAAAGCCAGTGAGAAGTCATGGCACAAATGATGCCATTACAGTGCCGCTGTGCAGGGCTGGCAGCTCTGACCTAACCTGCATCAGGGTAGAAGATGTGCGCGCAGTGAATAGTGGTTGGCTGGTGCCAATGGGTGGCTAATGTGAATCACCAGCCAAAGGATGTTTTGTCACATGTGCTGGTTAAAACACAAAAGCAGGTGTGATGGTGTATTCCTGTAATCTCAGCTGGAGGGTGGCAGGGGCAGGCAGAAGATTCCTCTGGAGCTGGCCAGCTAACCCAGATAAAACATCAAACTCCAGGTTCAGTAAAGAGACCCTATCTCACAATGTATGCCGATGATGTGGCTTAGCTTCCTGTACAAGTCTGACGACCAGAGTTCAATTCCAAGGACCCACATGGTTGACAGAAAGAACTGACTGCTGCAGGTTGCCCTCTGACCTTCACCTGTGCACACCTACCCCATCCCTCCCACACCAATATTTTGTTTTCTTTTTGGTCTTTGAAACAGGGTTTCTCTGCATAGTCCTGGTTGACCTGGAAATCACTCTGTAGACTAGGCTGGCTTCGAACTCACAGAGAATGGCCAGCTTCTGCCTTCTAAGTGCTAGGATTAAAGAAAGGCATGTGCCATCACACCCAGCGATTTTTATATTATTATTAAAAACAATATGGTGAAGGGCGATAGAAGAAGATATCTGATATCAACATCTGGCCTTCAAATGCACATACAGACACACAAACAGACACACATGGCAAAGACAGACTGCATGTAGGCAAACATTCCCCATTGTCTTTTAGCAAAAGCTGGAAAGTGGCCATGCACACCCCAGCTCTGAGGCAGAATACACCATCAACAAAGGCTCTGATAGCTCTGACCACTGCCTCTGTCACAAAATGAACATTTTCCTATTGCCCATATGGCCTGTTTGAGAAGGGAAATAAAAGGTGTGTGAGGGAGACTTAGAGCAAAGGAGGGTAAATCAGATGACAGTGCAGACACGCTCTTGAGTTAGAATAAAGGGCTGGAACACCGCACTGTAAGCAGCACATACCATTTCCCTGAGTGCTGCTGCATGTGGGCTGTACGGCATCTTTAGAAGGTGTCAGTAGCACTTGGCACATTGTGCAGGCGGAACTCTATAGCAACCACCCAGTCCTCTGTCCCCTTCAGATAACATGCCAAACTGCTTATTTAAAATACTGACAAAGGGACGCCTTCTCACACAGAGGGCCCAGATAAGAGCTTTTGTCACTTTTCAGCCAGAAGTCCTAGTGTCCCAGAGCAGTAATGACCCAGAGCTATGACCTCTCAGTACAGCTGTGAAGACTGAATCCTGAACCCTGGCTCCTTGGTCAACAATAGCGTCACTGTACCGCTTCTGACTGTAGGTGTAGAGTCCATGTCAGAGCACGTGCGTGCTGGCGGAGGACACCTGTTCCTCTTTACCTCCTCTACTGTGCCCTCTCAGTGATAGCTGGCGTTCACACTTGTCATTTAAATAGTTGTTGTTGCTGCTTTCTGAGACAGGGTCACAGGTAGACCAGGCTTGCCTTAGATTCTCTATAAACAATGATGATCTTAAACTCCAATCTCTGTGTGCCACTAGGCTCAGCTCTAGATTTTTGTTATGATTAGCTGGGATCTAGCCAGTGGTATTTTCTTCACTACATTTTAATTTCATGTTTCTGTAATGCTGGAGACTGAATCCAGGGCCCCACGCTCACCTAAACCCAGCCCCCATGATGCAATCTGAGGTGAAAACCTCTGTCATTGAAAAGCCCGGACATGCGCCAACTGTGGTCAGGCATGGTACATGTTTAATTCTGGCACTTGAAAGGCAAAGGCAGGAAGATCTCCATGAGTTCAAGGCCAGCCTGGTCTACAGAGCAAGTTCCAGGACAGACAAGGCTACATAGACCCTGTTTCAAACAAACAAACAGAGCCAACTGAATAGCAGGTAGCACAGACAAGATTGAGGATTGGATAAGAACTGATATAAATGAGTTCTACAGTGCCTTCCAACCTGGGATTTTTTTGTATTCCTTTAGAACAGTGCTTCTCAACTTCCCTAACACTGAGATCCCTTGATACAGTTGTTCATGTTGTGGTGAGAACCCCAACTATAAAATAATTTTCATTTCTATTTCATAACTTAAATTTTTCTACTGTTATGAATCGTAATGTAAACATCAGTGTTTTCCGATGGTCTTAGGCAATCCCTGTGAAAGGGCCATTCAATCCCCTGTGAGGTTGTGACCCACAGGTTAAGGAACACTGCTTTAGGACAACTATGTGTTTGGCATAAGGTAGGATGGTTTTAAAACTAGAGGGGGGCTGGATGTATGACTCAGTTAGTAGAGCACTCATCTAGCTTGCACAGAGCCTTGGAGTTAGTCAAAGCCTCATATAAAACCAGGTGTGATAGTGCACACCAGGAATATACCAAAGGAGGCAAGAGGATTGCTCTGAATTTGAGGCCAGCCTGGGCTATATAGTGAGATCTTAAAACAAAACAAACAAACTGGAGGAAAGATTTTGCCACCCCAGAGATCGACTAATCAGGAGTTAGTCGAATGAATAGGACATAGGGAGAGGGGTGGATTACTTTGATGGGTCCTACAGAAGGGACAAGAAGCGTGCAGGTGATTATAGAAGACAGAGGATTCCACATCATCTCGGTTGTGGACCTTGAGAGGACTGGACTGATATGCTTGTATTATACAGCTGCGCCCGGCTCTTCCCCGATGTCTGCAATCTCAGTTTGAGTAGCATCACAATTAAGCAGCATCTTCAGGGGATGCTTATCAAGACAAGCAATCATTTCTGGAGATAAGCAGTCTTATACGATGGTCAATGTCATTGTGCCCTCTCTTTCCTCCCTCAGAAGCTGAGGATACTGGCGTACTGGAGAATTCAAGTCACTCTTTTTAATGGATTTCTTAAAATTTTCTACAAAACAATCAGCTTCTAATTAAGATAGTTTTAATGTCCACTCCCCAGTCAGTGAGCCTTCTATTTCGTTTTCTCTGGAATATCATGTTTTCTACATCCAGAAGAATGTTAAACAAAAAGGATGAGTGTGATATTAAGGGACATGTATGCAGCCTTTCACCAGAAAAGATGATGCCAACTTGTCAATTTCTCAGACTCTTACCAAATGAGGAAATTCCTTTATTCCTAGTTTGCTGAGGATTTCATTGAGACTGTATGCTGAATGCCATCAAATGTCCTTTTGCGCCCATTGAGATGTGCCCTTCCTTGTTTGTCAATGCACTGAATTACATTTACTGAATAACTCAAATTCTCAAGTCTTAGTAGTGTCAGGCAGTTAACTTCAGAACACGTTTAAGGGAACTTGGAATACTGCCATTTATTTTTGTCTACAAATTAACATTTAGAAAACTTCCCTGCAAGCCGAATTCTAGTTTGTTGACTGAGGCCTGGGGTAGGGCCTTGACAGAGTCTTACCCTAGCAGTGGGACTAGGCTAGTTCCAGGAAAGGTGGCTGTGGAGCACTAACAAAACAAAAAACCAAGCCTGGAGGAGCCAGGCTGATTGGCAGTAGATATTAACCATTGTGCATTGACCTTACTCTCCATGTTTTCTGGTAGTTTCTTGTCCTTGCAACAGAATAGCTGACACAAACATTAGGGAATTGAAGGTTTATTCTGGCTGACAGTGGCAGGTTACAGTCCATCATGGCAGGGACATAACAGCTAGAAGTGGCGGCAGCTGGTCATCTGCCCTCTGGTGTTGACTTAGCATCACTTGCAGCCACCATTTCAACTTTGCTAAAACTGAAGTGACTGCCCAGCCCCCGACTCATTCTGTTCTAAGAAATAAAGAGCACAGATGACAGCAGCTGTTCTGACGATCCTCTTAATGGCTCGTTCACCCTTCTGTGGAGATGGTGTCTTACTGTCATTGGCTCCTCTCTCGATTCGTTCTTCAACACAGCAGCTTAGAGTCCCTAAAAGTTGTCCCCCAGAGCCACCAGGAAATACCATCCCATAATGAGTATACAGCAGCATTGCTGGAAGGGTGGTGAAGGGTTTCTTGTTGTTTTACAAAACTGCTCTACAAAGGCACAGTCATTACAAAGAGTGAACCAGAATTGTGTGCACAAGTTAATATGTCATCCCCCCTCTCCCGCGCCCCCGCAGGGTTACCTGGAGCCACAGGAAATCCAGGGGAAAGGGGAGAGAAGGGAGACGCTGGCGAACTAGGCTCTCCTGGAAATGAGGGCCCGCCAGGGCAGAAAGGTGAAAAGGGAGACAAGGGAGACGTGTCCAACGATGTGCTTCTCACAGGTAGGCTGCCTGACGTGGGGTCTTCCAACCCAAGGGCTGCTATGGTGACTTTGATCTTCTCTGCAACATCTTCTGGAATGCTTTCTTTCCTGGTTTGTTTGAGACAAGGTCTTCTGTATCCCAGGCTAGCCTGGAACCCCGCTGTGTAGCAGACCGACCTTGCCCTATCCTCCTGCCTCCATCTTCCAAGTGTTGGGGCTATAGCCGGGTACCACCGTGCTTAGCACGGCATTCTGTATTTTCAAAGCTGTGCACGTTTGTCCATGTGGACAAGTGTGAGTCTGGTATCTATCACAAGTAATTTAACTCATTACCCTAGTGGGCAGGGTGTGTGGTGCCTCCAGCCTGAAATCCCAAGTGTGGGGAGGCTGAGGCAGCAGGGTTGCTTCGAGTGTCTGACTACATGGAAAGACAAGGTCACAGTGCGAATGGAGACAGAGTCTAACCAGGCTCACGCTGTGCCACTACACTCGGCCGTGCTTCTCCTAGCTGGCTGTCCAGTCAGGAGGGTTTCAAATGATAGGGGACCGGTCTCACAGGCATTCTGCTTGGCTCTGGGATTGGATGGTAATCAAGTTCCTTAGAAGATGAGGTTGTGGCTCAGTAATAAAGTGCTTGCCTGGTTTGAAAGAGTCCCTGAGTTAAATTCCTTAGCTCAAGAAGGAGAATGGGAGGGATGGGGTAGGGGGTTGGGGTGGGACAAGGGAGAGGAGGAAGGTGAGGAAGCAGAGGAAGAGGAGGGCGAGGAGGAGAAGGGAGAGGAGAGGAAGAAGAAAAGAGTTCCTTTAGGGCTCTAAGCAATCAGAATCGGGATCTCCGGCACCGCAGTAACCAAGTCTGGGCTCTGCTAAGAGACCCTGGAGCTGGGATCCTGCTCATGTCACTTGTGACCTTAACCACTACTCCTTAGCAGAACTCCCCGAGAGGATCCCATTCCCACCCCACTGAGGGACTTATGAAGGAAGACTGATAAAACTCTTGGCACAGATCCTGCAAGAATGGATCATCTTGGTAGTTTCATCTCTAGGAAGGGGTGCACACAGTGGGACTCCAGAGCTGCTTGCTTTCCTTTCCCTAGTGGAAAACTGTCTCTGTGACAAACTTTTTATCAGTTTCTCCCCTCCTTCTCTCTAGGTGCCAAAGGTGACCAAGGCCCACCTGGTCCCCCTGGACCCCCAGGACCTCCAGGCCCTCCTGGAACCAGAAGATCCAAAGGCCCACGGCAGCCAAACATGTTCAACAACCAGTGCCCAGGTCACCGAGCCTTGCCCACAAGGAACCCACTCTTTGTGTTAATGATGCCTCTTCCAGACTTTGAGACCGAAATTTTGAAAGAGGGAGAATTTGTCCTAAATGGGATTCCTCCCAGCAATATGCTCACTGGAAGTCTGAATCCATGCCCCGGGCATGAGGACCTTGACAGGCCAGCACCCGACCTATCATCCCTCCCCTCACTGCACTCCCTATACTTATCTCCATGCCAGTTCTTGGCCGTTTAAACCTCTCCCTATCTCTGGAGCAGTGTTTTATTTGGTTTCTTTTTTCATTTCTGTTGGAAATGAAGAACACAGTGTCACTAGGTTGCCTGAGGGCAGCATCTTGAGAGCCAGGCTGTTAACTGTAGCAACAAGTTCCAGAGAGAGTGAAAAACTGGAAGATAGTGGAGCAGTCCAATTGGTTAATTCCCTGCAGAGAGTAATTATAGCATTTCCATCGCTGTCAGTAGTGTGTGTGCTGGGGGGAAGCTGACCCCAGAGCCCCATGTCTACCATGTCTAAGCTATACCTGGGGTCCCCCACCATTTAGTGAGTGGCAGGTGATATTGCCAGCCACAGTGCTATGTACTTAGTTCTTCTGAGTCCCATGACTTTCCTAGGGGGCTGGCATCCTTGTGTCTGGCTTACAGATGGAAAACAGACACCCCAGGAACTACCTGGCCCAGTTAATTTCAAAAGTTCCTTAGAAATGAAAGATTACAATAATGGAAAGTATTTCTAGAGTGGATTTAGAACTTGAGTGGTTACCCAGAATGCCTTGACTGTCTTAAACCAGGAGGGACAACTTGAGCTGTCATTTCAGCAGCAGATATGGAGGAGGACCCCGACCTGGATTCTCTCTGACTTTCTCCAAACAACTTCACTGTTTGAAATAGTGTTCTTTCTAGATGTTTTCAGGGAATGAACCCAGCTCCCGGAGGGGAGCTGCCGGGAAGCATATGGCTTAGGACTGCTAAAAAGCAAGTAATCAAGAAACATGGTGGAAATGTTATAATGGATATATTTAGGACTTTGTCAGGAAGTGGAGGTTATATATGTAAATCTTTAATATATCCCCATTGTGACAACAGCTTCTGCTTTGACTGTTGCCATTTTAGGTGAGACGTGTGCCGTACCAAATGACGATACCTTGGTGGGGAAAGTGGATGAGAAAACAAATGAACGCCATTCTCCGCAAACAGGTACAAGCCCTGGCACCCTAGGCTGGTGTGCCTCCTTGCTAGTGTGCTTCACCAGCCTCCACAGGCCCTAAATCCAATCAGCACCACACAGAAGAACTGTTTGGAAATTCAAAACTGGATGCGTTGATTGTCATAACTGTCAGCCAAGTAACTTCCTTTTCTTCTAACAGAATCCATGATCTCTTCCATTGGAAACCCAGCCCGAGTACTAAAAGTTAGAGAGACTTTCGGGACTTGGATAAGGGAGTCTGCCAACAAGAGTGATGAGCGCATCTGGGTGACGGAACATTTTTCAGGTACTTCTCTCCAGCAATGATCTGTCTGGTGTTACGCTTCCCTTCAGGTTTATTTATACCCATGTGTTTGAGGTCCCCACTTGTGTTGGTATGAGGCTCTTTATTTTGGAAAGCACAGCTAAATGGGAAGAACACTTTCCTATTTGGGATGTGTTGGTTGCAAGCTTTGTAGCTCAGTCCTAGGGACACGCCCACTGAAGTGTAAACTATCCAGTTTAACATAATAGCCAGAAGGAAATAAACAGTATGACATCTATAGGTTTTGTCAACCAAGCCATAACATGGATGTGATATGAGAGACAAATTATGCCACACAAATACCAACAGTCTGGCTCTGAGATCTGGTGTGTTCGGGGTGATATGACCTTAGATATAAAAGACCAATTCTGTGTGCACTGTCTATCATTGCCGGAGTTTGATACCATCCTATGAGAATACTTTTGGCCACGTTTCTCACATATTTGTTGGACAGAGCCCAAGGGAGATGGCAAAAAACTGTCTCACAGCCTCCCCTTGTCTGAACTTAGTCCCAGCCATATTGTTCCCAAAGGATGTGATTGAAGTGGCAGTTGCCAATGGTAGTCACAGTGGCCTCGTTCCAGAAGGGTCTGACAGGACACACTAGTTGACAAAAAGCTAAGAGCTGCTTCTTGATTTTATCACCACTAACTGATCACTGCAATAATAGCCTTCATCGCCCAAGCTGAGGGTTTGGGCCTCAAAGGAAAAGAGAAATGCTGAACAGGAGTGGCAGTGGTCTTGGTGGGTAGCAAGGGGTGGGAAGCCGCAAGCAGTTGCTGTACCAAGTGTGTGTTCCCAGGATAGCTTTGTGCTGCTTGGTTTCATACACACATTGGGTGTGACAGGTGGGATGGGGCACAAGTTCTCTCAGTGGCCTGTTACAGCTTCCTCGTTTCCTTCCCTCCTGCAGGAATCATGGTGAAGGAGTTCAAAGACCTGCCGGCACTTCTCAATAGCAGCTTCACCCTCATCCACCTACCACACTACTTCCACGGCTGTGGGCACGCAGTTTACAACAACTCTCTCTACTACCACAAGGGGGGCTCCAACACCATAGTGAGGTGAGCCTCCCGGACCTCCGTGCCTTGCAGTGTCTACCTAAGGGTCTCATACTGCACCCATTGTGGGCGTCTTCTGCAGTTGTTTAGATGTGTTAGATCTTTATGTACCTAGGGAGATCAATCGGGGTTTGTCCCCTAAAGGAATGGCAGAATACAGTGAAGGAGCCCCATGCCCTGGCCCCAGCCTGGGGTCTGCATTTGTTGCTGATGTGGACCCATGAGAAGATGAGAAGTGGGGAGAAGGAGACCTGGAGTGTGGCATCTCACATTCTTTGAGATAGGAAGTAAACAGAGTTGGAGCCCTTCTAGAACAAGGGGTCATTCTCCGACATCAGGGGCTCACATTTCTCCTTTCTCTTGAGTCAAGTTATTTTGTTAAAATTCTTTCCCTGGGAGGAGCATAAACCACATCTGTCCCTCCCATGATGTTCCAATGGCAAACAGAAGTGTGATTCCACCCTAGTTCAGTCTGGGGAGCCAAAGAGCTGCTAGGTTATTTACAGAGCAATGGGTGAGTTCGTTACCTCCCGGACACGGGTGACCTTAAAACAGCCACACTGGAAAGTCTACACCCAGCATGGATGATGGCTGCCCCCTCCCCTAGTTTTTTCCTCTAGTCTCTCCCCAAGACCCGAAGGCCACACACAATTAGGGCAGAATTGCATACAACTTGTTAGGAGGAGTGGCTGGATACTCAGGTGAGGGACCCATGACCCTCCCCAATCCTTCCTTCTATGAGGGAAAGTCGGAAGTCATCAAACCCAGCTGTAATAACCTTTCACAAGCAGGCTCAGCCAGTTTGGTGTGGAGGATAACCAAGATAGCAAATGCCCGTCACTCTCCTCTCCCTCTCTCCCATCATCTCTTCTCTGGTCATCTTGGTCACCCATTTGGGACAAACTTTCTGGTAGAAGAGGAAAGAATTCACCTCTTGCTCAGATTCCTTACCGGGCCCATGGGTGCCTGGTGTCTGTTTAACCCTAGCTCTCTGCTACTGTGCTACTAGGATTACTGGGACACAGTTGTTGGAGTGGGTGAGTTCCTGGGTGAAGAGACCCCGGAATGAGAAATGAACTCTGTAAAAATGGGGTCTAGGGTTTTTATTTTTGAGACATGGGTCAAACCCAGGGCCTCAAAATACTAGAAATCGTCTTTATCAGTAAGCTAGAGCCCCTCTCTCTCCTTTCTACTTTTTATTTTTATTATGAGAATTCTTTTTCCTTGGGGAAATGTAAACAATAACCTATCCCCTCCTTACAGAACACTAGTGCACAGAAGTGGGGTGCCACTAAATTCCAACCTGGGGAACCAGTGAATTTATTGGGCATGCCTTTAAAGCTCAAGTGACCCCCCAAGCAGTCAGACCACCCTAAGTCTCTCCCAGCTTCACAGACAGAGTTTCCTCCCCAAGGCAGTGAGTGAACTTCCTTAAATCATAAGGCCACACTCAACCAGGGCAGAATTACAGACAAATGGCCACAGACTCAGAGGAGGATTCAGCAACCCTTCTGATCCCCCATGACCTAAGAAGTATAGCACAAATTCTCATTGTTTTTATAATAAAAACTCAGAGAGAGAGATTGGGGTTAAAGCTGAAGATCAGAGAAGCAAAGCAGCCACTAGAGAGTTCTCACCCCTGCCAATGCTCAGACTAAAGGGGTGATCCTATCCTCAGACTGCATCTCCAGACTGTATGGGTCTCCACCAAACCTCAGACTGCACTGAGCTCCTGTCTCCTCCTGCCTTATATTCCTCTCTAGTCCTGGGATTAAAGGCACAGGATCCCAAAGGCTGAGATCACCTCTCTGTGAGCATTTTCTAATTTAGACAGATTCAAATCTCATGTAGCCCAGGGTGGTCATGAACACACAGAGATCCATCTGCCTCTCTCTCCTGAGAACTGGGATTAAAGGTGTGTGCCCACAACTGCCTGGCCTCTTTGGCTAACTAGTATGGCACTCTGATCTTCAGACAAGCTTTATTTGTTAGATCATAAACAAAGTATCACCACAAAGAAGGAATGTGTCCCAACAAGCCCAGTCTCAGGGTTGGAGTTCATGCAGACAACAGCTGCTAAACTCAGAGCACAGCAGTCTACAGCAGTCTTGCCAAGTTGCCTAGGCTGCTCTTAAATTCTCTGTGTGGGCCAGGAAGGCCTTGAACTTACTGTTACAGACCCTAGAGAAAATCACATTTTCACTAGAAGTATAAGGCCAAATGAGAGTCTTTATTTAGCTTGTGACCAAGAACTGACTCCTGCCACAAAGAACTCTCCTCCCTAAGCAAGGCAGGATAGGGTTGATAAAGAAAACCCACAATTATATATACCAGAGGTGGGCAGAGAATCAAAATTTTCAAAGGTTTCAGTTCAGTTAATAAAACGATTTATGTTGTAAAAACAAAGGACCTCCAAGGTATCCAAGAATGTTCTGCTCAGCAGGATGTACCCAGCAGGGGCTGGGGAGCAGTGAGGTGAAATGCAAGATAGAGTTATCTAGAACTAGGAAAAAAAAAAAAAAAAAAAAAAAAAAAAAAAAAAAAATGTCGCTTTGGAGTTTTTCATTTAACGATCCTCCCAAGTACTTAAGATTATAATCCTGTACCACTACCAGACTTGGGTGACCTGACTGGGTAGGGAACCTGTCCTAAGCCTAGATCTGTATCGAGCCACAAGCCTAGAGCTGAAGGAGGGGCAGGACTGAATCAAAGCTTGCTGTTTCTGTAGGGCAGACACCTCACCCACCCTCATGGGGTTAGAGAGCAGTACAGGATTCCAGCATTCGGGAGCTGGTACTGATGAGCCCTTACCACGTGCTGGTTCTTTTCAGGACACTTTCCAGCCTAATTAAGATTTTTTCTAGTCTGTTTCTGTTTGACGTGCTTCCTAAATGCCCATCACAGTCACACAACACCTTGCCTTCTGCGGTCTTCTGTTCAATGGCGCCCTCTGGTGTTTTCTTTTAGCCTAATATCCTAGATAGACTTACTCTCCGATTTAGGTAGTAATAGAATCATAATTCACTTTTTTGATACTGTTTCGGTTTCGAGTCTGAAAAATCAAACATCAGAAGCTAAGGGACATGGAATTCCATGCCATGGTGGTATTTATCAGCCCCTACTGGACAATTGTCTTCACAGCCTTTGCTACATCTCTTCTCAGCCGGTGACTTTTCTTATTTCAAATTGTAAAAAAACCAAAACCAAAACCAAAACAAACAAACAAACAAAAAACCCAGCATGGACTATCCAGGAAACTTGGGAGTGCTGAAGACCCAATTTAGGGGCTAGAGATGTATCTGAGTTGAGAGAGTGTCTGAAGCTCTGACTTTGCTTTCCAGCACTACAGAAGCTAGGCTTGTTGGAGGCAGGAGGATTAGGTGTTCAAGGCCATCCTCAGCTACATTGCTGATTTGAGAATGGTCCTTAGCACCATACTGCAGTCTCCCTTTGTTCTGATAGCACAGGCTAGTCACTGGCCTTCACATCCTTACTTCCCAGAGCACCATTAAAGGGCAAGTAGAAAAGAAGTTGCCTGGAGCTTCTGGGCAACAGAAAACACCAGCCCTGCTAACTCAGTTTCATAGGACCCCAACAAACGACTTGTGTTCGCAGACATGGTTACCCAACTCTAACTCGTTTTTCTTAAAAAACGTTTCAGATTTGAATTCGGCAAAGAGACACCCCAAACCCTGAAGCTTGAAAATGCTTTGTATTTTGATCGAAAATACCTCTTTGCAAATTCCAAGACTTACTTCAACATAGCTGTGGATGAGAAGGGTGTCTGGATTATCTATGCTTCGAGTGTGGATGGCTCAAGCATCCTGGTAGCACAGCTGGATGAGAGGACATTCTCTGTGTTGCAACACATCAATACCACATACCCCAAATCCAAGGCTGGCAATGCCTTCATTGCTCAAGGGATCCTCTACGTCACAGACACCAAAGATACGAGGGTCACGTTTGCCTTTGATCTGTTCAGAGGAAAACAGATTGATGCAAACTTTGATCTCAGAACATCCCAGGCTGTTCTTGCCATGTTATCATACAACATGAGGGATCAGCATTTATATTCATGGGAAGATGGCCACTTGATGCTCTATCCTGTGTGGTTTTCAGCAGCAGCAGCAAGCCAGTGATAACCTGCCTCCTGTTTCTTCATTACACTCCACATGTTTCCTCAGGCTGTTGCAGCTCAAACAGGAAGCTTGTCTGTAAAGGATATCCAGGTACTTGGAGCATAACCCCAAGCCACAGGCACTTGTGCAATCAGCGAGTCCCCTTTAAACAGGGTTACTTAGATAGCTACAGATTGGAAATAGAAATGGTTGATATCTCATGATTCCTTCTCAAACTCAGCAAGTTGGCACTCTTCCTTGGGCCTTGGTTTTCCCATTGGTAATATGAAACATCTGAGTATGTTGATAACAATGTTCTCTATCTGCATGAAATTCTGTGATTCTTGGATGGTTATATATTAGATTGCTTTCTGTTTTTTTTTTCTTTATAGCTTGAGGGATGAACACATCTGTAATGACTTACATTTTGGTATCTAGAGTAGGCACACTGACTCTTAAGGCTTCTAAGGTACCATGTTTTCCATAATTTGTTATTTTTCTCTGAATGTGCACCTGCCACCACAGAATAGTCACTGTTTTCAGCTCCTCAGTACAAACCTAAGATTAGAAATAAACAAACAAACAAGCAAAACATGAATAGCTGCAGGTCTCTACATGAAACTCCATCAAGCCCTTCTAGGTGTCTGTCAATTTCTGATCATGTCTGTTTGTTGCTGGGGAACATAAACACGGATTCCTCAGCTCACGGCCACTTCTGCTGAGGCTATGAGATTGCTGTATTAAACACTCAGAGGGCAATCATCTGGTTAGAGCCATGGAAACATGATGGTTTTCTCCAAAGAGAGGCACCGTTTGCAGTTAGAATGAAGGGAAGACAACTGGCTCAAAGGCCAAAGCCAGCCTGTTCCCTGTTGCTGTAAGAGGCATAAAGCCAGCCTAGCCCCTGTTGCTGTAAGGGGCATCACGTTCCTGTGCCTAAGACTCGTCCTGCAGACCACGACAGCAGTGAGCCATAGCAGTTCTGAAAATCCCACAACACTACCACCCAATCCTCTACAGAAAGAAAGAGAAAAAAAATGCTGACCTTATTCTAGGGCACAAAGTGAGCCAGAAACTGAGAAGTGGCTTGAGTTTTGGCAGAGGGGAAAGCTAAGAACAGCATCAAATGAAGTACATGAACCTCCAGTTAGGGAAGTATTCGCTCCCAAATGGTTCTCAAGGTTTGATCTGTTCCTCTTGGATATTAGAAAATGACTTAGTTTAATTGTCTCCCTCGCACCCTTAAACGGACATGTTTTCTGACAAACCCTGCAGCCTAGCACTGAATTCCAGGCAGGGCCATGGAGGTCAAGATGGAGCTGGGAATTTCATCACACCCTGAAGACAGGGAGAGAAACTATCCAGAAAAGACTGGCCAGAAATTTGTTCCAGAGTGTGTGTGTTCTGAAATAGTTTCTCTGGGCCCAAACCATGGCCTGGTTTCGTCTTTTAACAGAAGCACTTTAAGACTTGGGGTGTGCACATTTAACTATTTAAGTTTTCCCGACCTCTGAAAATACCCAGGCAGCTGTGAGTGGCTCCCTTGTTGAGCTCTCAAGGTAATGGACCCGAAGCTTCTCCACTTCTCCATTGGGTCGGCTCTGCCAGTCGTCACAGCTTTTAAAGATACTCTCTCAGATTCAGTTGTTGCAAGGAGTTGTTTTATCAGTTGTTTTAACAATAGCTGAATGCTATTGTTCCTTTAAAGTATTCAGATATGTGGTACTGTTTCTGAGTACAGTAGCCCTGAATATAAACACAATTCCCTTACTATTAGTAGTATTGCTGAGAATAGATATGATACTAACTATACATGTCATAAGCAAAATAGTTATTGAATTAGCTCACATAGTTTTATTATCTGAACTATCAGCTATCTTAGTCTGGTTTTTGTTTGTTTGTTTGTTTGTTTGTTTGTTTGTTTGTTTTCAGCAGAGTCTGTGTTTGCCCAGACTGATCTCAAACTCCTGGGGTCAAGTGATCTTCCTGTGTCAGCTTCCTGAGTGCTGGGCCTCAGACAAGTGGTTCTTTGTCTCTCTTAATTGTGGGTGAGGGATCATACACTCACTAATATAGAAGCTCACAGTGCCATTATTGTTTTCGCCACTGTTTCTCTTTTTTGTTATGGTATGGTAGGGTTAGAACTTGAGAGGATGACTGATGTTTAATGACAGTTTGTCTTTACAGAAGAAGAAGAAGATTTAGAACAAGTTAGGATGACTGATGTTTAATGACAGTTTGTCTTTACAGAAGAAGAAGAAGAATTAAGATTTTATTTTTTTCTTTCAAACAGTACTTTATTCTATATCACACAGCACTCACATGCACACATGTGCACACACACGTACAAGTGTTTCAGGCTCACTGTGAAAATAGGAGGCACAGCCTTGTACTTTAAAGTGAAGTTATTATTTTAATCAACCCCACCATCACTTATAGCCAGAGTAGTTCTAAAACATTTTCATATCTCTGTATGAAATCAAATAGTTCTTGAATTCTTCTCAAATCTAGAGTAGATACCATCCTACTAGAAACCGTCCCTTCCAGCTTCAAAGCAAGACCAGACCCTATATACCAAAGCATTTCCTTTAAACTGACAGAGTCCAACCAATGTTGCAGAGGTAGCTCTGGTCTCGATGTGTCTTGAGGCAGAGGTGATGGGACAGGGAAAGCATTCCAGGCTGAATGTTTCAGATCAGTTCTGGTCTTGGGTTCCTTCAAAGGTCTTTTTACTCTCAAAATCAAAAGGTGACATGTCAAATGAGAAAGCACAATTTTTGGAAAGTCAGCTCAGCCATTGTCTCCCAGCCACACCAAGTACACATGAGCTTTGCCTGTGCGCTGTGGAGCTACCCGAAGGGGAAGTGAGGGACAGAGTTCTTCACTTTTCTTCTGTGCCATGTGGCCTTGTCTCTCACATAGTTCCCATCTGTAACCACAGATTTCAAATGACCAGCAAATAACAATTGCAATTAGTAAAATAAAATTATCATGATCATGATCATAATCACATGTAGAAACAAGGGTATTACTATTTTTACACACAAACACACACACACACACACATATATATTTATATATATATATATATATATATATATATATATATATATATATATATACATGTGTATATAAATGTAATTAAAGGCTAACCACAAATGAAAGACATTGATATTTTTGTCTCTCTAATGACTTTTATTGGTTCAACACTAAGTCTTGGGTGGAACTCCAAGCAACAGATGTTAATTTGCTATGGAGACACAGTTTGTGCAGCTGGAAGCCTAGGCTCCCTTGTTGAGCTCTCAAGGTAATGGACCCGAAGCTTCTCCACTTCTCCATTGGGTCGGCTCTGCCAGTCGTCACAGCTTTTAAAGATACTCTCTCAGATTCAGTTGTTGCAAGGAGTTGTTTTATCAGTTGTTTTAACAATAGCTGAATGCTATTGTTCCTTTAAAGTATTCAGATATGTGGTACTGTTTCTGAGTACAGTAGCCCTGAATATAAACACAATTCCCTTACTATTAGTAGTATTGCTGAGAATAGATATGATACTAACTATACATGTCATAAGCAAAATAGTTATTGAATTAGCTCACATAGTTTTATTATCTGAACTATCAGCTATCTTAGTCTGGTTTTTGTTTGTTTGTTTGTTTGTTTGTTTGTTTGTTTGTTTGTTTGTTTGTTTGTTTGTTTGTTTGTTTGTTTGTTTGTTTGTTTGTTTGTTTGTTTGTTTGTTTGTTTGTTTGTTTGTTTGTTTGTTTGTTTGTTTGTTTGTTTGTTTGTTTGTTTGTTTGTTTGTTTGTTTGTTTGTTTGTTTGTTTGTTTGTTTGTTTGTTTGTTTGTTTGTTTGTTTGTTTGTTTGTTTTCAGCAGAGTCTGTGTTTGCCCAGACTGATCTCAAACTCCTGGGGTCAAGTGATCTTCCTGTGTCAGCTTCCTGAGTGCTGGGCCTCAGACAAGTGGTTCTTTGTCTCTCTTAATTGTGGGTGAGGGATCATACACTCACTAATATAGAAGCTCACAGTGCCATTATTGTTTTCGCCACTGTTTCTCTTTTTTGTTATGGTATGGTAGGTTTAGAACAAGTTAGGATGACTGATGTTTAATGACAGTTTGTCTTTACAGAAGAAGAAGAAGAATTAAGATTTTATTTTTTTCTTTCAAACAGTACTTTATTCTATATCACACAGCACTCACATGCACACATGTGCACACACACGTACAAGTGTTTCAGGCTCACTGTGAAAATAGGAGGCACAGCCTTGTACTTTAAAGTGAAGTTATTATTTTAATCAACCCCACCATCACTTATAGCCAGAGTAGTTCTAAAACATTTTCATATCTCTGTATGAAATCAAATAGTTCTTGAATTCTTCTCAAATCTAGAGTAGATACCATCCTACTAGAAACCGTCCCTTCCAGCTTCAAAGCAAGACCAGACCCTATATACCAAAGCATTTCCTTTAAACTGACAGAGTCCAACCAATGTTGCAGAGGTAGCTCTGGTCTCGATGTGTCTTGAGGCAGAGGTGATGGGACAGGGAAAGCATTCCAGGCTGAATGTTTCAGATCAGTTCTGGTCTTGGGTTCCTTCAAAGGTCTTTTTACTCTCAAAATCAAAAGGTGACATGTCAAATGAGAAAGCACAATTTTTGGAAAGTCAGCTCAGCCATTGTCTCCCAGCCACACCAAGTACACATGAGCTTTGCCTGTGCGCTGTGGAGCTACCCGAAGGGGAAGTGAGGGACAGAGTTCTTCACTTTTCTTCTGTGCCATGTGGCCTTGTCTCTCACATAGTTCCCATCTGTAACCACAGATTTCAAATGACCAGCAAATAACAATTGCAATTAGTAAAATAAAATTATCATGATCATGATCATAATCACATGTAGAAACAAGGGTATTACTATTTTTACACACAAACACACACACACACACACATATATATTTATATATATATATATATATATATGAAAAATAACTCAGATCAACACTGAGAGAGAATTATGTTGTTGGTTA